TTTGGTCCACAGAAACAAAGGGACAGTGTCAGCAGTCACCTCCAGTCTCTCTCTCTAAAACCTTCAAATCAGGCAAGAAATCTAGGGGTAATAATGGACACAGACTTGAACTTTAACAGCCACATCAAATCAATAACATCCGCAGCCCTTTACCATCTAAAAAACATAGCAAAAATCAAAGGTTTACTGTCTAAATCAGACTTGGAGAAACTTATCCATGCATTTGTCTCCAGTAGGTTAGATACTGTAATGTTCTGCTCACTGGTCTCTCCAAACGAGCTGTGAGACGCTGCAGAACATCCAGAACGCTGCAGCTCGGGTCCTGACTCGAACTAGGAAGTACGAGCACATAAGTCCTGTGCTCAGGTCTCTGCACTGGCTCCTGTGCCTCAGAGAATAGACTTTAAAGCAGCTCTGTTTGTACAAGTCTCTCCATGGCCGAGCACCAAAGTACATCTGTGACATGTTAGTGTCATATGAACCATCTCGCACTCTGAGGAGCTCAGGGACCGGCCTCCTGCTGGTGCCCAGAGTCACGACTAAACAAGGGGAGTCAGAGTTTCAGGTTCATGCAGCTAAAACCTGGAACAGTCTGAACATGTGAGACAGACTCTTCTGTGACGCTGTTTAAATCCAGACTCAAAACATTTCTGTTTAACTGTGCAAATAACTGAAAGGTTTTCATTCCGCACTTTTCTCTCCAATTTATGTCTCTCTTTTTTTTTTAATTTATGATTATTTGTTTTGATTTTTTGTTTTATTATGATTTTAATGTATTTCTTATTCTGTAAAGCACTTTGAATTACTTTGTGTACGAATTGTGCTATACAAATAAACTTGCCTTGCCTTGCCTGTGCACTGTCACTGTCTCATTAAGGAAATAAACTAATAACTAATAGGGGTGTAATGATATCCAAGTCTCACGATACGATATTGTCACCTTATGAACCTCACGGTACGATATTTATTGCGATATCGAAAGCTCACGATGTGGTGGGGAGGCTCACGATTACAGATGTAGCAATATCCAAATCTCCCGGTACGATATTTTCATGATATACATCTCACGGTATGATATTTATTGTGATAATCTGTGGAGGCTAAACAGCTTAAACTGTAAATATGCAACTTTTTCCTCTTAAAATGCTTTGACAAGACTTAATCCAAAGACTTAAAAGTGCTTAGAACTGTTATTTCTTCTTGTAGTCTACACTGAAATGGAGCAAAGGATCATGGTCTATGTAGTAGTTGTCTTTTTTTAGCTATTGCTGCACCATAACTCTTAATTTAAGCAAAGAGACTTGTAATTCGATGTATTGTGATGGTCCACGATATTATTGTGTACTTTGACGATACGATATCACGATATTTTGGTTATTGTTACATCCATAATAACTAAATTAAACAATTCATAGAAACAAGGTGATGGACCCCCCAACCGAAAAGTTACACAGTGCATCTTTAACATGGACATAAATAGCAGTTACATTGGATTAGATCAGATGCACTGTTTTAAGAGTTAATCTTCAACCCCTGTCCATAGAGGACTTAAAGGGGTTTAGTGACCAGAAAGAAATGTTAAAATACATAAAGTATATAGTTCCTTAAGATGTGACTGACCTTACAAGGCCCATTTTAGTCATGATGTGAGCTCTGGCATGACTCCAATCACAGTTTCAGAGTCATGTTGAGGATGTTTGGGTCAGTTTGTAGTTTTAGGTCAGAGGTCAGAGTCTGTAGTTTCTTGCTGGTTCAGATTCTGTAGTTTTAAGACTAGTCAGGCTGGCACCACCTAGTGCCTCTGCTCAATTTCATTTCTCTCCACCAACTTAGTCAGGAACTGTGTGGGGAAGCTGGCCAATGTGGTCAAAGTAGGAGGCAGATTACAACAAAAACCCAGACAAAATTTATTTTAAAACAGACTTCTGGAGTTCACCAACAAAAGTACAAACTAGAAAAGCACTCAGAGAGCGCAGACCTCCGCCAAGGACTACCCCCATTTTTTATATAAATTGCGATAATATCAGTCTTCTGGATCAGATCCGGATCAGCCTTTGGAATATGAAAGAGGATCCCATTGTCCATCCCTGAGTCAAATTTCATGGGGTTTGGTCAATAATTAACCGAGATATTGAGAAACAAAATTTTTGCCCCATTTACCACAATGTTAACAAAAATTTCAAAGTGATCCAGAATCCAGGATTTCTTCCGGATCAGCCCCAAAATGAAATCAGTTCTTCCTTTTCACATTTCCAACAAATCCTGAAAATTTCATCAAAATCGGTCCATAACTTTTTGAGTTATGTTGCTAACAGACAAACAAACAAACAAACAGACAAATGCCGGCAAAAACATAAAGTCCTTGGTGGAGGTAATAAACAGAAAATAAGTAACTCAAATCCAAAAAAACCCCAAACAACCTGCACAGAAGGCTCTTCCCTAATTGATGACACCTGCTTGCCTTGATCCTCCGCCCAGCAGTACCTCGGTCCAAGTTCCAGCAAAGCAAAGTAGGTGTCTTTCCAAAATCTAAATGTTTAACATAAACTAAAGTGAATTTAAAATGAGACACAGGCCCACACTTTGTCACAAATTGGAATACACCAGACGGTTTGTAAGAGCTGTGAAGACATGACGTCAAACTCAATCAGTCTGAAGACTGTGAAGACATGAGTAAACTCAAGCACCTGTGGGTGGTTACAGACATGTAAACAAAGTACGAGATCGATGTGACGTTAGTAATGATTCCCGGATTTAAAGCCAAAACAAAGAGAATTTTTGGCGAATTTAATCAAGGGGAAAAACGTTATTGCCCTTCTTCCTATGGGATTTGGTGCTTTACATACATCACGACCAAATAGCAGCGATTGGTTAAATAAAAAAGTACCCGTTTACCATCTAGCGAACAAACCCTAATGCTGCGAGGTCAGACGGTTTCCACAAAGTGAAACCAGCTGATGAATCAGGCTACAGTTCCACAGTCTAGAGCTCTTAAAATAGAAACTGGTCCGGTGTTTTAAAGGTCCTATAATTGACTCTTGTGAGCTTTCAGCCGTGTTTTGATGTTGTTAACTCTTCAAAAACACACCTGGAGTTGTCTTTTGTTTCATTCACACATGTCTGAGTAATGCTTTATTATAAAATGCTCTCTTCCACCTTGTGATATCATGTACTGACAGTTTTCAAGTTAACAAATACCTTTTAGCTTTAGTTCAGGAGAGACTGGCAATTCTAGGGCTGAAATTATCAACATTATCACACGACTTAAAGCTCACAAGAGTCATTTTTTTTGTAATATAAGACTTTTAATGTACAGAATTGTTGCTGGACATTGGGGAGTGACGTGCAGATGTCAGTAGGTTGATTCATTTTATAATTTCCCTCCAAACGGAAATAAGAAATATGAATATTTGATATGTTGTGGTCAAATGTTCTCATATGTTTGAATCTTATTAACCTTCAGACCACATTTACTGACAATCTGAAAATATATCTATATATTTTGTACAATTTCTGCAAAATTATTATGCCAATATTATAGCAGCAGGGCAGTAAAATAATATTTCTCATGCACAGGTCACATATACAGAGCCACAGTGCCCCCATCAGGACAACACAGAATAGCAACTTGAAGATAAGACATTACCTTTCCAAAAATGACATATTATTCAATTTTACATACCAAATAAGTATTTAAACAAATATAATAAGTATTTAAACATATTTTTTATTTTATTTTATTTTAATATTATACAAAAAAAATTTAGAAAATAGTAATAATATTAATAAAACTCACACGCTCTCTACAGGCTGATGTGCTGCTCTGATTTATTTTGATAAATTAGTGAAATATATTTGAAAAGGAAATTAACAGGTAAAGCTTTAGAGATTTTGAATGTAGTTTTTATTTCTATAGTAGTTGTAATTCTGAACTTGTCCATAAGGTGGCAGCACATCCCCATCCAATAGGTAGACAACGACTAACATAGACACGCTCTTTTATTATTACACATGTTTATGCTCATGTGTGAAGAACATTTTTCAAGTATTATTTAAGGAAACAGAAATAGTATTTAGCCTGTGTAATTTACAATTTCAATTCTATGTTTTATTCTCTGTTTATAATGTTTTTTCCTCATCAAAAACATACCGAGATGTGTTTTTAAACTTCAAACACCTTCATTAGAATAATTCACCAAAACACCAAATAAAAGGTAAATGTTATAATAGGCCTAGCTGTTAACATGAAAAACTTCTGTTTCATGACATCACAAGGTGGAACTGGTCATTTTGAGCTTTGGAGATGTAGACAATCTAATAATAAGTGAATGAAACAAAACACAACTACAGGTATGTTTTTGATGAGGAAGCAACATTATAACATGGCTCAAGAGTCAAATTTGCGTAATATAGGAGATTTAAAAGATTTTTTTTTTTTTTTTTTTTTTCCTTAACCTGCAGACAGAGGACGCATACAAGTTTTTTTTCTCATGCTCACTTCATGAACAGGCCTCATGTGAAAGCTCAGAACCTCCAGAATTCCCTCTAAAATTCTGTCCTTTAGTCCGTTTGCAGCAAAGCGTAAAATGCGCACAGGCTTTACCAGCGGAGTTTATGCAAATTATGCATTAGCTATGCGGTTTTAAGTTTCGTTTCTATAAATGAAGCTGTGATGTGCCTAAAAGCTTCTATTTTCATTCTTATATAAAGCTGGGTTTATCCGGGTATTTGTTGTGTACAATGTCTGAAGGAATGAAACTTTTAACACTTTACAAACTCTTCGTGCGGAGTTCGGCCGTGTTCGGAAAACTTCGGGAAAAAACGCGCACTGGATTGTGGGGATGCCTCCTAGCTCCTTACTGGTTATTTATATTATTAGATTTTTTTACACTTTCATTGTTAGGAATTTCCCGAGGTTCCTATGCTAAAGGAAGAATGCAAGCTCTTTTTCCTAACTCCTTCCCAACTCCGCGGACAGTCCGTATTGTGGCACGCGGTGACGCACATCCGGTCTTGGCGTGTGGAGCTAGGAGTTTAGACGTTGATTTGATGAATTCGGAACGACCCCGAGACGCAAGTGACGCTAATCCTGCGTTATGGTTTGTGTTTTTCTTTTCTACCTTTTCAAACACATAACTGATATAAAACTCCGATACATACTGACCACAGTACTATCCCACCAAGCTAAGAAATCATTTAGAAAACACGAAAACCTGCATTTGAAACTGTAAATGTGACTGTTTCTTTAAGTTTCTTTGAATGGGAGTGCCAGTCTCTCAAGTTACAAGTTCAGCCTGGATAAGATCAAGTCTGTGCTATTTTCCTGTTTGAATAGTGTAAACATTAACCTTTTTATAATGTCCCAGGTATACACAGTTCACTTGCACGTCCACAGTGTCTTTGGATAATGAAGAAATGAAGAGATCTGGGACAAAATGCAAAGAAAGATCTGGAGAGCGTAGAAAATGGCTTCTAGGTGAGTGATGTAATGTAGGCTTTTTCTTATCAGTGTTTTTCGTCCTTTATGTTTACTTTGCTGTGGTGGGGGAATTTGTTATTGTTGTTTAAGGTCCTTTTATTTCGCAGATTTGACTCTCGTGAGCTTTAAGCCGTGTTTTAATGCTCTTACCTCCTCAAAAACAAACCTGGATTTGTGTTTTGTTTCATTCACACATGTTTGAGTAATCCTTTATGATTAGCAGTGTTGGGGAGTAACAGATTACATGTACCGGGATTACATAATCAGAGTACAAATTATGAGTAACTGTATTCAGTTACAGTTACTGTTTCAGTGAGTTTTAATTGGAGTACAGTTACTTTGTTGAAATAAATGGATTACAGGGCAGTATTTTCCTGTTTTCACATTTTGGGTTAAACCAGGACTAAAAGCAGGTCTAAAACCAAGACTAAACCAGGTCTAAAACCAAGACTAAACCAGGTCTAAAACCAAGACTAAAACCAGGTCTAAAACCAAGACTAAACCAGGTCTAAAACCAAGACTAAACCAGGTCTAAAACCAAGACTAAACCAGGTCTAAAACCAAGACTAAACCAGGTCTAAAACCAAGACTAAACCAGGTCTAAAACCAAGACTAAACCAGGTCTAAAACCAAGACTAAACCAGGTCTAAAACCAAGACTAAACCAAGTCTAAAACCAAGACTAAACCAGGTCTAAAACCAAGACTAAAGCAGGTCTAAAACCAAGACTAAACCAGGTCTAAAACCAAGACTAAACCAGGACTAAACCAGGTCTAAAAGCAGGACTAAACTAAGACTAAACCAGGTCTAAAACCAAGACTAAACCAGGTCTAAAACCAAGACTAAACCAGGTCTAAAACCAAGACTAAACCAGGTCTAAAACCAAGACTAAACCAGGTCTAAAACCAAGACTAAAGCAGGTCTAAAACCAAGACTAAACCAGGTCTAAAACCAAGACTAAACCAGGTCTAAAACCAAGACTAAAGCAGGTCTAAAACCAAGACTAAACCAGGTCTAAAACCAAGACTAAACCAGGTCTAAAAGCAAGACTAAACCAGGTCTAAAAGCAGGACTAAAACTAGGACTAAACAATGACACCTAACAGTAGAGTGAAGATAACTGAAGGCAGCAGTGATCTCATATAGAAATCAATTCTATATCAATAATATTTTTTATATGCTTAAGGAAAGACTGGGCTTTTTATTTTCTTTTAGCAGCCAAAATTTATGTTAAGATTTCCTGGTCTTTGCTTCTCTACAACAAACAGTCGCTTATTCATGGAGACTTGGGCTCAACAGAGAATTTGAAGAGAACAAACATGAATTTTCAGGATGTGGTTGATACATTCATGTAGTTTTAAAAAGCATGACAATATCAAGTAATCCAAAGTATTCAGATTACGTTACTCACTTTAAGTAATTTAATGGATTACGTTACAAACTACATTTTGGTGTATGTAATCTGTAATCTGTAGGGGAATACATGTTAAAAGTGAACTTCCCAACACTGATGATTAGTCTGTCTAAATCTCCAAAGCTCAAACAAACAAATCCACCTTATGATGTCATGTAGTGGTAGCTTTCCAGTTAACAGCCACATTTTGCATTTGGTTCATTATTGGCAATTCCAGCGCTGAAATCATCCAAATGATTCTTGTGAAGGTGTATGGAGTTTAAAAACAGAGTGCATTACTTCATGTGTTCATCAAACTTCACAATATTCTACTTATCAAGATTTTGAAGGATTTGTTGTTATATAACTCTCTAAGACTGATTATTTAACCCCAAAATGTGGCTTTCTGGGGCAGTTCAGTCAAATCTAGTTTACTCAATACTTACTTTTCTAATATTTCAACAAAATGTGTCAAGAAATTAAACCAAGCTTTGCCCATTTTCTGATCTCTGTCCCAAACATGTGAACATTTGGCAATTTCTACAGACAGTATTTTTATGAGAATCATTAACTGATGAAAAATACAATTTGTACAGTTTGCTTCATTTTAATAATTTAGTTGATTTTAAATATGGGTGTTTTATCTATACAGTTTTGTATGGACTTGTCCCCTCCATTACAGGATTTTATTAAAGTAAAGACCACAAGAGAAAAATCCCACACACCGTCTTACTTGCAAATTGTGAGATTTATTAGGACAAACCGTGCAACGTTTCGGTACTAGGCCATCGTCAAGAAAACGGAATGAGGGCTCAGGTGGTCATCTTAAATAGGGTGTGGCAAGCACCCAAGGGTGACAGGTCATAAAGAAACAGTGTACCCAAAACATCATAATTCAAAAAACAAAAACAATCAAAATACAGTGTAATAATAACAATAATAATAACCATAATAATCATCATATTAGAATTATCATTGGATAATAATAAATATTTTTCTCTTATTTTTTATTATTATTATTATTATTATTATTATATATTTTTCAATTATGTTTTTTTTTTTTTAACTATGATTAATATTTCATTATTACTATTATTACACTGTATGTTTTTTGAATGATGGTGTTTTGGGTACACTGTTTCTTTATGACCTGTCACCCTTGGGTGCTTGCCACACCTTATTTAAGATGGCCACCTGAGCTTTCATTCTGTTTGCTTGATGAAGGCCTTTTGCTGAAACGTTGCACGGTTTGTCCTAATAAAGGCGTCACAATTTGCAAGTAAGACGGTGTGCGGAATAGTTTTTGTGTTCTTGGGCTGCTCCCTCTCCTCTCAAGTAACTGATGTGCGAAGTTCTCATTCTATTAAAGTAAAAACTGTCAGTGGGATGGGAACTAGGGCCACGGTCCGGGAGAACTGTGAGTCCCACACAGACGCACCATATTTGGACAAAGTGTGTCTCGGTCTATCACAATCCCACTATCAATAAGAGACACTCCAACACTGGACACTTTTAAATCTCACTTGAAACAGCGGCTAAAGGAAAACCAGAGTTGTGGACATTTTTAGTTTAGAACTGTCACTTGTTATTGTTGTTTTTTTTCTGTTGTTACCTGCCTAGGGACTACAGATGGAAATGAGCATTTTTTTATATAATCTGACATATTTACGCTGCAGTGTTGTAGATGTTCATTAATATGCACAGTGCCTATTAAATAAATAAATAAATGAAATAAAAAAAAATAATCAAAATGTAAAAAAAAGTGTAAAAAAGAAAATTATAGGTTTATGTGAGTAAACTACAGAAGTTCCAAATTGGTCTGTCTATTTTTATTTTATTTTATTTTATTATTATTATTTTTTTTAAATCTACAGTAATGTTTGAGCTGAAGCTTTATGAATGTGTTTTACTGGAGTTATCCTGAGTCAGGGTTATCAGTCAGGTCAGTGGTTTAAAGGTTTATTGTGTTCTTGCAGAGGGCACATCATTTACTCCTCTCTATGGAGATGTAATTTTGAGAATCCCCCACAGTATGGCATTAAACTGATTTTTCTTAATGGAGACAAACAGAAGGCACCACCAGGCCAAGTTACAGGTCTGATCTGTGGTGAGGCAAGTTCGCTTACAGTAAGAAGGCATGTTTCAGTGTGTTTTTAAGCAATAAAAAGTCCTGTGTTCAAAGTAAGTTTAAAGCCACACTGTGGATCTTTATTAATAAAGAGAGTGACAAACTTTGTACCAAAATGTTCATAATGCACCTACAGTTATTATAGTTTTAGTATCATCAAGTCCCTGTAGTTTTGTTTTTTGGTTTTTTTCCCCTGAATTTGAACATAATTTGTACAAGCAGCTCCTGAGGTCAAAAATAAATTCACTGTGTACTATCTGTTTCTAATTAAAGAGCATTTTATATTCAAATAATTAGGAAGCGCATGACAGCATGACACTTGTTGTTAGCTTTACCGTCACACACTGTTCTCTGAAAGTTGTAAAAAGTGCCCATAAACTCATCGTGATGCTCTGAATGCATAAAGTATGTGACTTGCTCTGGTTCTTTCAGGAAGCAGATGGGGAGTCCCGGTGCTTCTCCTCCGTATGTGTTCCTCAGGAGTGACGAGCCTCTGGGATCTTCTGTACATGCCAAGTAAGGCCAAGTACACTATATAAGACTTTTGATTTGAATTTACAGGGTTGCAACACAAAGAACAAGCACAGTATTAGAATAAAAAAATGGAATAAAAAAGATAGATAGATATTAAAAATACTTAAATAATTTAACTGGAATTTCCATTTCTATTTTATCCATTATGCATTTTACTTAGAAAAGAGAAGACAAAGGAATACAACAATACACTGTAACTAGAGAAGTCTGAGTTTAAAGAACAGCAGCCTGCACTCTTGTGGTTTGGGTTCCAGTTTTATTTTACCTGGACCATAAAAAATGGCCACACCAGTTTGTCAAATCCTGATCCCGTCAGATCTCAGCAGCTCAGCAGGGCTGGGCCTGGTTTGTACTTGGATGGGAGACCACTGGTGCTCGTTGTGTCGTCAGGCAAGACACTTCACCTACATTGCCTAGTATGAAAGTGGTTTGTGTTTGAGTGTTGGTGGTGGTCAGAGGGTACAATGGGGCAAATTGGCAGCCTCGCTTTCGTCAATCTGCCCCAGGGCAGCTGTGGCTACAGTAGTAGCTTGCCACCACTGAGTGTGGAGTGAATGAATAATGAATAATGAAGTGTAAAGTGCTTTGGCTGTCTTGAAAGGCGCTATATAAATGTAATGATTCATTAATTTAGTGGTTCTAAATGTTTCCATTGTGTTTGTCTTTAGCATGAAGCTGGGAGATCGCAGCCCCAGTCCTGAGCTTGTGTCTATGGCCAGTGATCGCTCTATGTCACATCCCATAGCCTTTAAGACGGACCCCTATTCTCTCAGCACCAGGTCTGAATGTTTTTTTTTTTTTTACATACACATAAATACATATACAACACATAAATAGATATATGATATATGACATGGTGATGTATAACTTATTGATCATTACATTTATTTACACACAATCACTACAGAGGGTCTTTGTAGGAGCTATTTGCTTATTTTGTTGATTCTAAAATTTGTTTATTATTTTGTTTTTTTTTAGTTAGTTTACTAATTTAGTTTTGTTAATTTGTATAATATATTTTTGCTATGTTAATATCATTCTTGCAAATTTCTTAGTCTTAAGTTGGTATTACTTACGTTAGCACCTCTTTTTTGTTTTTGGTTTAATCTGGGTCACCTAGGGGATAAAGGAGGGTGGTACACATAGACCAGAGTGCACCTGGGTGGGCCTATGGTTTTTTACCAGTCACGAGGAGAGGCAGCAGGAGTAGGCCTTAAACATGTATTCCTTGTTGCTTGCCAAAAAACTGGAAAATAAATCTTGGAAAATCATCTCTAGTCATGGACATTGATTTGTACTGCGTGAACTACATACCCATGGTGCCCAAAGGTGATTATTTGAGTTATGTTTAGTTCTGAGTTTGCTCACGCTTTTGTTTGTTAACTTTATTTGACAAATAGTCACTACAATCTTTGTACTAGAGCTGTGTTATGTTTTTGTAATCCTAACTAAATTCTACACTCCCTGTGGTGACCAGCAGAGGGAGTCAGACACATCATCTGTAGCAGACTGGGTTTCAGACATCACAGCGTTCTATAGGCCAGTATCATTTAACACAGATGAATATTGTTCAGCTGCAGATTTTTGTTGTAATACAGCATGCAGCATGGTCTTGGGTCTAGTCAATTATAGAAATGATCAGGTTCCATACTTTTCGTTTCCTTACTTGTCCTTTTTACAAACAGAAATGGTTTGTACTGACCACTGAATAAACACATTTATTTCTGTATATAATTACTTGATACCTTCTGTACAAAAGGCCCAAAGATCACAAACATTTTGGACATTTTCATCTGTTAATGTGTAAAAAATGTACAATGTTTATGTTATTTAATAATGTAATCTATTCATTCTAAGTGTGTCTAGAATGAAGTTGGAAAGTCATGGCCCCATCCCTGAGCCTGTGTCTGTGAAGAGTAATCAGTCTATGTCACATCCGATTGCGTTTAATGAGGAACCCTTTTCTCTCAGCATCAGGTCTGTTGTTTTATTTATTTATTTATTCATGTATTTATTTATTTTAAGAAGAAAATCTGTAAATTGCAATGTATACAATGATGAATTGCTCAAATTAACATGGTGAGTTTTGATACACTGATAGTCCTATGTTGTGTTTTAAATTGGAAAATAAAAAGACTTAAAGAGTTAAGTAGGAGATACAGTTAATTAAGGATATATTTATTATGAATTATGCCTTTCTTGAGTCTAATCTAAGTGCAGTTCTTATAAATTTAAGAATTATTATTACTCAGTTCTTCACTTCCCACTTTGGCCAGCAGAGGGAGGCAAACACATACCATGAGATGAGACAGGACTTACTCTGTTTACTTTACACTTATTTCACCTGTCACTGAGACATGTTTTACACACGTTTTACTGAAGTCAGTATTTTTTGTGTGTGAGATTATACCTTTAATAGAGTGGATTTCTATTACTGTTTTCCCTCAGATGGGAGACAGGAAGCCCTGAACCTGGGCCCAGCTGTGTGTCCTTTAAAAGTGACCAGTCGATGCCTCATCATATAGCCTTCAACATTGACCACCCTTCTGTATACAGGTGATCAAGAGCATTATAATCAATTAATAATGATTGTTTACCTTGACAACCACAGTTATAGGTGCAAAATTATGCACCATTAACTCATTTGAGCTTTAAGACAGATTAGATTGTTTTTAACTCATCAAAAAAATATCTGGAGTTATGTTTTCTTTCATTCACACATGTCTACGTAAACCTTTATTATTTTATCTGTCTACATTTCTCAAAAGGCTCTGTTCCACCTTGCAATATCATGTAGTGTTAGTTAATCTCTCCTTTTTACCTCTTGTTTAGTAGAGATTGGCAATTCTAGGGCTGAAATTGTCCAAATGATCCTAGTGACGGAGTATGGAGTTTAAAAATACAGTGGAGCACTTCCTGTATTTTAACATGACATCACAAGGTGGACAAGGAGTGTTTCCTGTTTGAGATCAGAGATTAGCCTAATTATGCAGGGTTTGTGTATTCAACATGTGTGAATGAAGCAAAACAAAACTCCAGGTATATTTGTGATGAGAAAACATTATTAAAGTTCTGAAAATAACATAATATGAGCCCTTTAACAGGCCTAGATTAACTCTGGTTTGTTTGTTCAGACAGGAGCTGGGTCCAGAGGCTCACTTTTCACAAATGGACAAGATTTTTATGGTATGTTGTGTTAATTAGAATTTTTGCTTGAACATTTAAACAATGCATCTGATTTATTCAGTGTAATTCAATTACTATGTTCATATCAAGTAAATACATGAAATGTTTAAAGTTCAGATACTGTTTGAAATATGTTAAATACAAGACATTATGCAAAATAGATTTAGATTTTTTTTTTTTTTAGCTTGTTCCCTCAACAAAAACATGCATGATGACCTTAGATGTCATCATGCATGTTTGAGTATTTTAGCAGTCTCCTGATCCCTATTCAAACCCTCCTTCAGGTTAGCTGTAAGATTCTGTGCGATGCTCCGCCCACAAGCTACATCGTCCAATAGATAAAATTTGCCTTCTCAACAATCATCAATTATACTTTTCTGTGTCTATAGAATTTGGAGAGGAACATCGTCTCTTTTGTCCAAGCTGAACTACAGAGTTTTAGGAGAGTTCTAGAGTTTGATTACTCAGAGTCCCTTGTGATTGACGAGAGTGAAGAGCAGAGGACCAAAGAGACGTTCCTCCAGCTCACTTTGGACTTCCTGCGAAGGATGAACCAGGGAAGGATGGCAGATCGTCTACAGAGCAGTAAGACGGTTTCTAAAGCCTATGAAAATCGTTTTTGTTTTCTTGTCTAAACCAGGACCAGAACCAGACTAAATTGGATCGGAACGTAACTAAACATATATTTACTTACCAATGATTGACCATAACTCGATTGACTTGAATCTTGAAAATAATTGGCCTTAAACAGAAGAGGACCATGTCAAGGACTATGTCAAAAGCTTTACAATGGACGGTCTTATTACTACAAAAATACATCAGTACACTGCATGTGACTAACTTAAACTTTGTTTTTCTGTCATGGTTCAACAACAGAGAGAGAAGAGATGCAGTTACAATTCATTCTGAAACCTATTTTTCTCTTATTGTTCAAAATCGGGTGCACGTCATTTAACCGGACCATTCGATGAAGATGATTATTAAAAGTGCACTATCTAACTTTTCTTGTGGGGAGTCCACCACTTGCATGTCCAAAACATTTATTCATACTGTGTCACCTGCTTCTCTCCATGGAGTCAAGTTCAATGTCATACAGTGGAACATTCCAGGCAAAGCAAAAACATGTCCATGGAAGCGAGCAAGACCGATCATTCATCAGAAAATGTAAAAATAACTCCTTTTGTATGTATGTTTCATTTTTTTCAGGATACATTCATAAAGTCCAGCGCAAACTCAAATCCAACCTGCAGCAGAAGTTCCAGTGCATTTTTGAGGGCGTTGCCAGAGCCGGAAACCCCACTCTTCTGAACCAGATCTTCACCGAACTCTACATCACAAAGGGAGGCACTGAAGGGGTCAATGAGGAACACGAGGTCAGACAGATCGAAACTACATCGGGGAGACAAACCGAGTCAGAAACTACCATCAAATGTGAAGACATCTTTGAAATATCCTCACAGGAACCGGGAAACATGAGAAGCAGGCTGCCGATCCGGACCGTGTTGACGAAGGGAGTAGCAGGTATTGGGAAAACCGTACTGACCCAGAAGTTTTGCCTGGACTGGGCAGAAGGCAGGACCAACCAGAACATCCAGCTGTTGTTCCCGTTCACCTTCAGAGAACTCAATGTGCTTAAAGATACGCAGTTTAGCTTAATGGGACTGGTACATCACTTTTTCAGCGGACTTGAAGAAATCCGTAGCTTTGAACACCTCCAAGTTGTGTTTATTTTCGATGGTCTGGATGAATGCAGGCTTCCTCTCGATTTCGCCCAAGCCAAAGCATTAACTGACATTGCTGAATCTACTTCGCTGGGTGTTCTGTTGGTAAATCTCATCAAAGGGAATCTACTTCCTTGTGCACAGATTTGGATAACCACACGTCCGGCTGCTGCCAATCAAATCCCTGCCCGCTACATCGCCGTGGTGACAGAGGTCAGAGGGTTCACGGACCAACAAAAGGACCAGTATTTTAGGAGAAGGTTTAAGGTTGAGACGGAAGCTGTAGCCATCATTGCACACATCAAGGGGTCAAGAAGCCTCTATATTATGTGCCACATCCCAATCTTCTGCTGGATCGCCGCAACTGTCCTAGAACACATCACCAAATTGAAATCCAGAGACCCACTGCCCCAAACCCTCACCGAGATGTACATTTACTTCCTGGTGGTGCAGATCAAAGCGAAGAGCCTCAAGTACGACGGAAGATCTGAGGTAGAGCCGCAGTGGAGTCCGAGGAACGTGGAGATGGTGGAGTCGTTGGCCAAACTGGCTTTCGAGCAGCTGCTGAGTGGAAACCTGATCTTCTACGAGTCAGATTTGGTCGAATGTGGTCTAGATATCGATGCAGTTTCGTCCTACTCCGGAGTCTTCACGCAGGTTTTCAGAGAGGAACCAGGACTGTACCAGGACAAGGTCTACTGCTTTGTCCATCTCAGTGTGCAGGAGTTTCTGGCCGCTCTTCACGCTCATCGCATCTTCGTGAACTTTGGCGTCAATCTTCTGGCAACCGACCAGCCTTCCGTGGACACAACACCTGCGGAGGACTTCTACCAAAGCAGCTGTGGACCGGGCCATAAGCAGTCCAAATGGCCACCTGGACCTGTTTCTGCGCTTCCTCTTGGGTCTCTCTCTGCCAACCAATCAGAAGCTCCTAAAAGGTCTGCTGACACAAACAAGAAGTAAATCCGAGATGCATCTGAAGACCTTAGACCACATAAAGCTGAAGTTGAACGAGGGGTTGTCCACAGAGAAAAGCATTAACCTGTTCCACTGCCTGAATGAGCTGAAGGATCGCTCTTTGGTGGACAGGATTCAGTGGTACGTAACTGGACTCCAAGGACTGTCCACCACGCTGACACCTGCAGAGTGGTCGGCACTGGCGTTCCTCCTTCTCTCCACAGACCTGGAAGTGTTCGACCTGAAGATATACCAGCCGTCTGAGTGGGTCCTCCTCAGACTGATGCCAGTGGTCAAAGCGTCAAAAAAAGCCATGTACGTACACAATATGCATTTTGCCAAAAACATTCAGCCAAAACACTCACCTGGTTTCTGGTTCCTCTTCAGACTCAGCACGTGTAACCTGTGGGACAGCTGCTGTGCTCCTCTGGGCTCTGTCCTCAGTTCTCCCTCGTCCAATTTGAGACACCTGGATCTCAGCCACAACCCGATCCAGGACTCTGGGATGGACCTACTGTCTTCAGGACTACAGAGCCAGGGATGCAGACTGGAGACACTCAAGTAAGAACCAAGTTAAAAACACACAAGGTTCACCTTTTGCGTTAATTATATTCAGGAATTTTATCTAGTCATCATTATATTCCTGTTTAAGGTCTTCGTTTATGTCTCAAAGTCTGCATTTCAATTTTACACATAGAAATGAAAATATGTAGAGTAGAGCTATGTTGAGAAGAGCCAGCTGAGATGGCTTCAGCATTTGTTGACAGACAAACTTTACTGATCCATAAGGGAAATTATTTGGACACAATAGCTCACGCAATATAATATATTATATTTACTTAGAATAAAAAAATAAAAACTATAAAAGAATCAGATGAAGATGTCTGGACTTTTGGAGGACTTTGGAGTATTTCTCACCTGACTAAATACACCTGTGCCTCTGTTTGCAGCTTGTCCATGTGTCACTTGTCCAGGAGGAGTGGTGGGAGTCTGGCCTCTGTCTGCTCTCTGTCCTCCAGCCTGAGACACCTGGACCTGAGCAATAATGACCTGCAGGACTCTGGAGTGGAGCAGCTCAGTGCAGGACTCAGGAGTCCAGGCTGCAGATTGGAGACTCTCTGGTAGATCTGCTAACACCACAGACATTACAGACCTAAAATAACCACATTCATGAATGCTTCTTAAAAAGTGTTTGTAGCTTCCGCTTTAGGAAGATGCTGAGAGCACTCTGTGCTAGATTCACAACACAATGTTCTTAAACTCCCAAATGTCTTCTTAAATGAGAGCTGTGCCTAATTCACCAACATCCAGCTACGAACACTGTGTCACTAATTTACATTTAATTTGCTTACAAATTAATATGCATTTACAAAGAAACACCCTCTAAACATCCATATATGGGCAATATGGGCTTGGCATTATAGCATGTGCAAGCAAGAGGGAGAGAGTGAATGAGGAAAGCAAAGGGAGGGGAAACTCGGGGGTCAAAAATGAATATATCATTCATATCACAATAAAAGGTGATCTAAATATGTTATCTGTTAGCAGTTAATACCCCACAGGAGTAAAATACACACCTCTTTTGCATGTCACGGTACAGCAGGAGAGGGAACAGGGTGTTGGCACATGGACATGAGTGCACTCCGGTCATAGGGGGTCATGGGGGGTGATGGGTGGTCACGGCAGTGCAGAGGTGTTGAGTCCAGCGTGATGACCAGGCACAGGGCTGTAACTGTTTGGGTGGGACAAACTGCTGCCACAGCAGAACAGCAGCCTGTATAAAGTCTGTTAGGGCAAATAATTAAAAAATAAAAAATGTCAAGAAATATATAATATATAACTTACATTTATGTAGGTATCACAATTTATGGTTGCATTATCAAAGTAATATTATTCAGTAGAATCTGTGCATACGAGTGCTCATGACTGTAGGATTTTCAGCTTTGCAGCTTTGAAAAAGTTTTGTAAATGCCAAAAATGATTGTAAGAAGGCCTTAAGTACAAATGTGTTCATAAGAACGCTTCATGAATGAGGCTCATTGTCCTTGGCATTTCTGTGGTTTGAACCCACAGTCCAAACAAACTGTTAAACTGGGCGGTGAAGGTCTAAAGGGGAGAGTGAGGAGGGTGAACCCTTGGACCCTCCTCACTCCCCCCTTGGGTTTAGTTACACTTTAAATGGAAAGATATTTTAAAACCTTTGAGACTGTGTGAGACTAATTCAACACTTTCTGTGGTTGTGTGTTTTCAGTCTGTCTGGATGTCAGGTCTCAGAGGAAAGTGGCTCGTCTCTGGCTTCTGCTCTGGCAACACCTGGGTCATGTTTGAAAAGTCTGGACCTGAGCTACAACAACCCTGGATCCTCTGTGGTGGAGCTTCTGTCTCACCTATGGGAGGACCCCAAGGCCCCCCTGGAAACACTCAAGTAAGAAACAAATCCTTTATACTGAAAGGCCAAGCAGCTACACTGTGATTTTACCATTATTATTATTCAGGACAGCTGTATCATAACTGTGGAGAAAATAGATAACAGGGAATGAGCTTAAAGATTCAATATTAAGCAAAATTGCCTCTTGTGAGTTTTAAGCAATGCTATAATTCCAGATCTGAAATCATCCATATGATTCTAGTGAAGGTGTATTGAGTTTAAAAATACAGTAGAGCACTTCCTGTATTACCATATGACATCATAAGGTGGAACAGTTTGTTTTCAGTTTGACAGAAGAACACAGCCTAAATATGCCGGGTTTGTGTGTAAGTTAAACAAAGCAAAACTCCTCGTATGTTGATGAGGAACCTACATAATAACATATCCTTATATCAGTAGAAGCATAGAAGAGCAACTATAGTTCATGTTCTGACAAGTTCTGTATGGTGTTTTTTGGTTAGACCAGCACTTTTCTGTCATCTCTGTATTAAGCATAACTCTTTATCCCTCTTATTTTTCAGTTTGGAGCCTGCAGGACCTCGATGGCTGACTCCGGGTTTGAAAAAGTGTACGTACCTTTTTTTTCATGTTTTCATTACAGTGGCCCTAGCATCAACTCAGGGTAAATAAGTAAATGTAGATGGTGGTGGATTATTAGATAAACGCTCGTGTGTCTGTGGTAAACGACGTCATAGGTTATATTTATAATGTTACTACAATTACAACTGAACCTGAACCTGCTGCAGATAGTTTATTTTATTTAGTTTATACATTTTGCATGCGGTTTCTTTAAAGTTATAGTTTAATAATTCAGGGCTACTCAAACGTGTGTGAATGAAACAAGACACAACTTCAGGTAACAGCATTGTAACATGGCTTAAAGCTGACAAGAGTTAATTGTGGGTAATATAGGACCTTAAATAGCTTTATGGAACAGTTAAAGTAATTTTCTGCTGTATGAAGTTCATAGTTAGCAGTGGTTGAACAAAAGAGCACAGTGATCTCTCTGTATTGGGACGCAGCAATGAAAATGTAGACCCATTACCACAGCAATTAACCATTAAAAACTTAAGTATTAAATATTTTGAATGGGCAAATGGCCTCAAAATATCACCTATATGCAAGAGCTTGAAACCTTAAAACCTTGAAACCTTGAAACCCTTAAACTCTGGATTGAAAAACTATTATAAATTTTGCCTATTATTAATTTACAAAAGATTGCATAATGTATTAGAAGGGACCTTGGAACTGAACAGGAATATAAAGTTGTTGTTTTTTTGTTGTTGTTCTTTTTTAATAATGTGGGATAAATGTTCCGTGCGATGCTCTCTGTCGTGGGGGGAAAAAAAAACTATAAGAGCCATGATATAAAGGGAAAAGGAAAGAAAAGGAGAAGAAAAAAGGGGGAAAAACCATGAATGGTAGATAACGCACAGTCCCTGTTTATAATATTAATTATCTGGGAATGTATGTACTGAGTATGTATGCAGTAGGTATGTATGTAAAAAAGAGAGATTGAAACCTATGAATAGTCAGAATTCGATGATTTCTATTCCTTTTTTTTTTACTGGTCATATTAAACCTACCATAGACTTTAAGTATCTTTGCCTCTTCAGATTTGTGCGTTCACTCTCTGGACTCCAACACCGCGCACCGGCAACTCCATCTATCCGACCGGACCGTGACCCGCGTCTCTACGGACTTCAACTACCCCTTCCACCGGGACAGGTTCGACTACTGGCCCCAGGTCCTGTGCAGTAATGCCCTCACCGGACGATGCTACTGGGAGGTGGACTGGCTGGCTGACTGGCACGGGGAGAAAACCAGAGGAGTGGACATCGCCGTGAGCTACCGGGGCATCGGTCGCAAAGGAGACAGCGGCCAATGCGGGTTTGGGTTCAACAACCAGTCCTGGAGCCTGATGGTGTGTTACGGATATTACTGCTTTAGACACAATGGGAACGAGTCCAGGGTGGGGACTTTCACGGCGTCGCGCAGAGGCAGAGTGGCGGTGTACCTGGACTATCCTGCGGGGTTTCTGTCTTTCTATAGAGTTTCTGAAGAGCAGCTGATCCACATACACACTGTCAACACCACGTTTACAGAGCAGTTGTTCGCAGGATTTGGGGCATGGTCTGGAACGGCAGTGTCTCTGAATCTGAAATAGCCCCACCTACTGAACACTTCCAATTTCACTAGTTTATTTTGAGCATCACCAATGTCATTTTTGTTCATCTGCAAAAGCTACATGTTACAAGTACCGTATTTTCCGGGCTATTAGGCGCGCTCTTAAGCCTCTAACCGCATCAAAAAATGGCCGCGCGCCCCGCAATCCAGAGCGCCCTATACACGAATCCACTCGGGTGTCCCAACACGACTTCAGTAAACTACAAAGCCAGCACCACCCGCAGCGCACGCAAACACACACGGAGCAGACAGCGACCGCGCAGCGAAAAACACCCACAGCCACACTCATCACTCCACACTGACGAGGAACGGAACGGAGGAACGAACCAAAAAGCGAGTGCAAGTGCCACTTCTAGACACGACTGAACAACTGAGTCACTGCGAACACGCCGACAATCCAGCGGTCCCAGACAGCACCCTCCCTACACGCCACAACTGAACAAAGCCCAGAGTCACCGTGAACGCGCCAAACAAAGTCCCACTGACCCATCCAACTGTTGTGTTTTGTTTAAAGTCAAGTGTGGTTTATTTGTGATAAAAGTTTGAAAATAGACCATTTAATGACGTTGCGTTTTATAATCCAGAGCGCCTAATAGCCCGGAAAATACGGTAATAAGTGAAACTGTTGGGTCAAGAAAGAATGGTTTAGGATGCATCCTTTTTACTTTTTTTAAAGGAGACATATACAAAATTGACTTTTCATGATTCATCCAGTCTACCCTCATTTTCATTGCCACGGGTATACATGCACTTAACTTACTTCATTGTCTCATTTTAATGTATTAATCAGTGTTACATATAGGATCTGGCAGCATTGTGTAGCCATTTTGCCACAAATATAAATGTCTGCAGCAGTCCGTAGGAGGACCCAGCAGCAACATTCTGTAAAGGGGCAGGTGGGAATCAGCTCCTTACACCTCATTGGGCACTGCAATTTTCCAATCTGGTGGTCATTTTCAATAAATCCAACATAATGATCCACTGATCTCATAGATTATAACTATATTGCAGACACAAGCATGTTTTCTTTAAGTATTTTTTATTTGAAGACAGTTCACCCTTTAGCTAGCTCTAAGGTTATATAGCTTATGAGATACAATGTTTTTGGATTTGATAGCTCTAATGCTTACTTTAATACTACTACTATTACCACTAATACTTGTTTACAGTAGGAAGTCGATTTGTTAGTTTCAGAGTAGTTTCAGAGTTAGTTTCAGAGTAGTTTCAGCGTAGTTTCAGCGTAGTTTCAGCGTAGTTTCAGCGTAGTTTCAGCGTAGTTTCAGAGTAGTTTCAGAGTAGTTTCAGAGTAGTTTCAGTGTATTTACCTCCTCCCTTCAGGCAGATAAAAGGCAGTGTCCACCAGCAACTGACCAGAACTGAAGAATCAGCCTGGATGAGCTGCGAAACATATTCAATCAAAAAACTTGTGTCTAGTTGACAGAATTGAATTTCTCCTTTGCTATAGATCGTACCAAAGACCATATATATGAGTGGACATAGCTAACACTCTAGCCGCTGTGTGCCAAACAGGAGGCTCTTCTGGCTCCTTCTGACTCTGGCTCTAATTGACTTACATTAGGATCTTGTCGCCCCTCTCTCTGTAACTGCTGCAGTGAGCCTCGTCATTTTGGTGTTAAAATGTAAAATGTTCGTATTAAATCGCTCTACAGGATCCTGGATTTTTTTTCTGCTATTTTGTTAGTCAAAAAAATCCTATTCATGACATAGACCCTGGCTCCAGACTCGCTCCTGGAACCGTTAGCTTCATTTGAGCAATGGGTGACGTCACACTTGCTTAGTCCACTTCTTTATACAGTCTATGGCTCGTACATGGACGACTTGAAGGATTTCGCGAACATTTCTCTCCATATTTAGCTTGTTACGGCGCCAGACCTCCAGCTCCTCCTGTAGCCATGTACATATGTGTCAAGTCCCTGCTGCTTGAGCCCTCTGTTTCCATATGCAATCTGACAGACCTCCTTTGCGATTGGTGCATGGACTTTAAGGATCTGATTGGCTCCTGGGTCCCTTCCTGCTTATTGGTGCATCACCCTAGAGGTAATCCTGGGCCTTCACCTACAGCAGACATGCCCCCTGCCACTTCCAGCTGCTGATTTCCATTGGTGAACAGCAGGCCACATTTGCTCTGTCTCTATACTTTAGAGCAGTGTTGGGAGTAACGCGTTATAAAAGTAACGAATTACAGTAATGCATTACTTTTTGCTGTAACGCAGTAATGTAAGGCATTACAGGGGAAAAAATAGTAATATTTTACTCGGTACAAATGTGAGTAACGCGCGTTACAGTGTTTTTTTTTTTAACCTGGATTGAAGTGGTGGGTTTTTCTTCATACAAATTCGCTAAAATCACCTCGATATCAGCAGCGGTGAAACGCCGGAGATGCGCCCTCGTAGACCTTCAGGTAACCGCGGGCGAAAGGACTGACAAAGAACTCCACGCTGTTTAGACCTGGTTTAGACCTGGGTCAGTTCTGGTTTAGACCTGGTTTACACTCGTCCCTCCCTCTATCGCAGTTCACTTTTCGCTGTCTCGCAGATTTTTTATTTTATTTTTTTTTTGTGTGCAATTTTGCATGCCCTGTTTTTTTTTTTTTTTTTTACATTGTATATGAATGCGTATTGCGTTCCTCCCGCTGCGTCCTGACTGGCCAAAGGACTCCTGTCTCCTGTACAGTACAGTACAGAATGTGTTCAGCTGCCAAATTTAAATACATGTTCAGTCTCTAGCAGTGTGATTCTGAAGTGCTGTACGGTTGCAAGTTTTCTCCCCGACGAAACCCACAACGTCGACGAAACGTTCTGCACCGACAAAGGCTCCTGCGCTCGCACCCAAAAGGCAGAGGAAGATGCAAACCATCACACAAAAAGTTGGACTTCTGGACACGCTGAAGGAAGGTAGAAGTTACGCGCTGTAACAGACTCTTGCACCGGCTCGGGAACCTGCAAATAGTTGCTGAAATCAGGGCCGTGAGCCCGAGCAGCAGGGTCCATAAAGAGCGATCGGGTGACAGCCGCTCTTACCTCCGTGAGGTGCGGAGCAGAGCCGCTCCTTTCTCCTGCGGTCACCTTCGAGCCCGTCCCTACAGTGAGTCCTGTTTTAGTCCAAGTTCAGTTCTAGTTTAGTCCTAGTTCACTTCTGGTTTAGTCCTGGTTCAGCTCTGGTTTAGTCCTGGTTTAGACCTGGTTTAGTCCTGGTTCAGTCCATATACAGCGCAAAAGTTATTTTGGTGAGAGTAACTTAAAGTAATGCAATAGTAATGTAATGCCTTACATTTTAAATGCAGTAATATTGTAATGTAACGAATTACTTTGAAATGACAGTAATAGGTAATAAATAACGCATTACAGTTTCAAAGTAACTTGCCCAACAGTGCTTTAGAGTTTGTGTAACTGTGAATTTTGTGACTCAGTTTTGTGATCAGTTTGTTAAGTTCTGGTAACTTAGCTTTAGGTTTACATTTAACTACTCTTTTTGTTAATTCTTGTTCATTCTTTGTTTTTGTTAGTTTTATGTTAACATTCCTTTTAAATAAATTATGACTTTAGTTTTATCATTTTACATCTTGGTTCTTTTGTCACTTTCTTGTCCCTAGAAACGCTGGGTCATAACAAAACTATGTTAAATTACTTGGGGAAAAAGCAACATGAAACTGACTGATAAACATTTGTAAAAAAGTAATATCTGTGCAGTTTTAAAATATTCCGAAAAAAATTACACTAGAAAGAAAACTCAGCTGTCAATAACGGCGATATGAAAAGGTCTGATGTAGAGTTTATTTTTAAGTCTGGTAAATTCAATATTGTGTTTACAGTGAACAAGAATATTACCAGATACAAGTAAAAAGCATAATACATCTTCAATAGTCAGTGTTGGGAAGGTTACTTTTAAAATGTATTCCCCTACAGATTACAGATTACATACCCCAAAATGTAGTTTGTAACGTAATCCATTAAATTACTTAAAGTGAGTAACGTAATCTGAATACTTTGGATTACTTGATTTTCTGTAGAGAAGCAAAGACGAGGAAATCATAACCTAAGATGTTTTGTCTGATAAAAGAAAATAAAAAGCCTAGAGTTTACTGAACCAAATTAAAAATATTATTGATAGAAGAGGAAGAGACACGTCCACGTGGCATGATTTAATCCTGTTAAATCCTGGTTTAGACCTGGTTTAGATCTAGTTTAGATCTAGTTTAGTCCTGGTTTAGTCCTGGTTTTCGTCCTAGTTTAGTCCTGGTTTAGACCTGGTTTAGATCTAGTTTAGTCCTGGTTTAGTCCTGGTTTTCGTCCTAGTTTAGTAGACCTGGTTTAGATCTAGTTTAGATCTAGTTTAGTCCTGGTTTAGTCCTGGTTTTCGTCCTAGTTTAGTCCTGGTTTAGACCTGGTTTAGATCTAGTTTAGATCTAGTTTAGTCCTGGTTTTCGTCCTGGTTTAGTCCTGGTTTAGACCTGGTTTTCGTCCTAGTTTAGTCCTGGTTTAGACCTGGTTTAGATCTAGTTTAGACCTGGTTTAGTTTCTGGCAATGAGTGGAATTACTGAAAAAATAAAAATAAAAAAAATAGGAGGGGATATAGCCCAAAATGTGAAAACAGGAAAATACCGCCGTGTAATCCATTTATTTCAACAAAGTAACTGTAATCTAATTACCACTCACTGAAACAGTAACTGTAACTGAATACAGTTACTCATAATTTGTACTCTGATTACGTAACTCCAGTACATGTAATCTGTTACTCCCCAACACTGTCAATAGGAGCACCGAGGAGTGTTATTGAACAAAGTGAGATCCAAAGAGCTCCAGATGTGAAAGAAAAGAACAAAGATGAAGCAATGTCAGTGATCCAAAGTAACGAGGCAGGTTGTAGGAGACTGCGTGTGCCTGCGACTCTACAGGAAAGAACCCTATAAACATGTAAGCACTCAAAACAATGCAGAGGGGTGAGTGAGGACATACGTACATGAAATAGTGTTGCTTTAATAACTTTGTTCTTGGGTTGGGAGTCCGTCACCTGCTTGTTTCGTTGTTGTTCCACAGTGTGACATTAAACAGCTCTACTTAACATTTATTTAATTACAGGTGGCTTCATAGCTCAGAAATACCTAGAACAACAAAAGGCATTCTGACTCAGATCTGATCTGTAACTTGGTCTGGTTTTGGTCTCCATGAAGATAGAAATGATCACAACTCCACGGAGGAAAAGTTACACAGTGCACCTTTTAATTACAAACCACTGACGGGTATGATATTTATGTTTTTATAGGCCAGACATGTCAAACTCAAGACTCGGAG